CTCCTGCTTCAGCCTCCCGAGTAGCTGGGATTACAGGTGCCCACCACCATGCCCAGCTAAATTTTGCATTTCTACAAGAGATGGGGTCTCATGATGTTGGCCAGGCTGGTCTCAAAGTCCTCACCTCAGGTGATCCACCCGCCTTGGCCTCCCAAAGTGCTGGGATTACAGGTGTGAGCCACCGTGACCGGCCCAATGTGACATTTTTATAAATTCTACAGATATTAAAATAATAGCAAGATAGCAGTTTGAGTTTTATGTAACTAACAAAGACAACTTAGGTTAAATGGGCACAATCCTTGAAAAATAAAAATCACCAAAGCTCAATCAAGAAGAAATAGATAACCCAAATCGACCTATATCTACAAAAGAAAATATAGTTGAGAAAACTCCAAGCCCAGACAGCTATGCTGGTGAATTCTATCAAACATTTTAGGAAGACATAATATAATTTTACACAAACTTTCCCCACAAATATAAAGAGGAAAAATACAACACAACTTATTGTACAATGCTAGTATTACCCTGAACCAAATGATATTACAAAAAAGAAAATTCCTTCATGAATGTTGACAAAAAATTTAACCAGTTTTTGAAGCAACCAAGATATCCTGCAATAGGTGAATGAACAACCTCTGGTACAGTCATACAATGAACTACTATTCAATGCTAACAGAAATGAGGTATCAGGTCATGAGAAGATGTGATGGAAACATAAATGCATGTTACTAAGTGAAAGATGCCAATCTGAAAGCTATGCACTGCATGATTTCGACTATATGACATCCTCAAAAAGGCAACACTATGGATACAGTAAAAAGATCAGTGGTTACCTGCGGTTAAGGAGGGCAAGAAAGGGCAGATAGGTGAAACACAAAGGAGTTTTAGAGCCGTAAAAATACTTTGTACAATACTATAATGATGAATATATGTCCTTTCCAAACCTACACCAAGAGTGCACACTAATATAAACTATGAACTTTGGATGATTCTGACATGCCATTTTGGTTCATCAATCATATATTGTACCACCCTAGTGAGTGATACTGGTAATGGGGGAGGCTATCCATGTCTGGGGACAGGAAATAGACAGTCTCTGTACCTTACTCTCAACACTGCTGTGAACCTACAACTACATTAAAATAGTCTTTTAAAAATACCTAAACAAAATTTTGGCAAACTGAATACAAATAAATATAGGGTCATTGTTGCCCAGGTTGGTCTCAAACTCTGGCTTCAAGCAATCCTACTGCCTTGACCTCCCAAAGTGCTGAAACTACCAGCGTCTGGCCCCAGTGATATACTTTTTAAAAGCCTACATCCTATGCAAATGGGATTTATTCTAAAATGCAAGATTTGTTTAACATTAAAATATCAGTTATTTCCCTCATTAAAAAACTAAAAGAGAAGAGCCATATGATTATCTCAGTGGATAAAGGGCATTTGATAAAATTCAACTTCATTCTTGATTTAAAAAAAAAAAAACTCTCAGCAACCTAAGAATACAAACAAACTTCATCAGTGTGACACCATGAATCTATGATAAACCTACAACTAACATCCATCACCAAGACAAACTGAATGCTTTCCCCATATCAGCAACAACATAGGAATGTCTGCAATTCAAACTTTAGTAAGTGTTGCGCTAAAGATTCTAGCCAGTGCTATCAGACAAGAAAAAGAAATAAAAGGTATCCAGGTTGGAAAGAAGAAGTAAAACTGTCTTTGTTCACAACCATGATCACATAATAGGGGCAGATAAACTACAACCTGTGGGCCAGCTTCTTCTTTTTGTAAATAATGTTTCATAGGAACACAGCTGTGTTCATTAATGTATGTATCCTCCCTGGCTGCTCTCAGACTACAATGGCAGAGTTAACTAACTGTAACAGAGACTATTTTGTCACAAGTCTGAAAGATTTCCTATCTTTAGTAAAACAGTAGTTTAAGAATAAAAAGATTTGATAATCTTTCTTGTGTGTATAAAATCTGATCAAATCTTCCAAAGAAGGTACTAGAACTAATAAGTAAGTTTAGGAAGGTTGGAGGATACAAAAGTCAACATACAAAAATCAGCTGTATTTTCATATACTAGCTACAAACAACCTGAAATTTTTAAAAATATCATTTATAATTTCATTTAAAAATGAGACACCAATGAATCAGATAAAATATGGAAACATCAAGGCTGGGAGCAGTGGCTTACAACTGTAATCTCAGCACTTTGAGAAGCCAAGCTGGGAGGATCACCTGAGGTCAGGAGTTTAAGACCAGCCTGGCCAACACGATGAAACCCCATCTCTACTAAAAATACAAAAATTAGCTGGGTACAGTGGCTCATGCCTATAATCCCAGCTATTCAGGAGGCTGAGGTAGGAGAATCACTTGAACCCCAGGAGCAGAGGTTGCAGTGAGCCGAGATCACATCACTGTACTCCAGCCTGGGT